TCAACAACGTTCAGCGATACCAACAATTAACAGATGTACACATTCAGATGTTGAAACATTTTATAGAAGCATATATGATAAGTGTATAAATGTGATGAAAGTGCGCTAGTCAGATGCAAGCATTATGTATGTGCACATGACAGCTGTAAGCTTGATAGAGTTCCACAGAGGTAGATGAATGTATATATATTTTTATATACGCCCCTGACAATGTAAGCCTTATTTAGAAATATCTGATAGTGTATACTTACATGCGCACTCGATACATGTGAGCTTTGTATATGCACACCCGATACATAAAAGCTTTTATAAATGTGCACTTCATAGATGTAAGCTTTATAGGTCTACAAATGATCAGTGGGCACCTAATAGATGTAAGATTTATAGATTTACGACCGAATAGGCTTTATAATATGTAGACTTCATCCTGTATTGTTTGATGGGCAATGGCTCTTGGCATTCCATGTCAATGTAAAAAGCTTCTTAATGTCATCGATCTTTACACTCCTAGGGGGGCCTCTTGCTTTCACTGCAGATCGTTTCATGTGTAACGCATATGTTGGTAGTTATTCTAGCTGCATTCTTACTACATTTGATCTTCTTTTTCTCAGTGAATTTACTGCACAGTATTGTTCCTCCAGTCTGTCTGGTACTGTTATTTCTAACTTTGTCTCGGGTGGTTAAGTTGGCTCTCTTCTCAAGCATATCATTTCACAGATGTTAATTTTACGTAGGTTAGCTTTTGATCATATGACTAATGTGGTTCTAATTATTGCTACCTGGTAGATGAAAGCATTATAAATGTGTGAATAATAGAAAAGTGAATGAAAAAAACAACCGAAACATTGGTCTATGAAGCGTTCTAGTCGTTGAGGTGTAGTATGTGATGTATATCGGCTTTATAGATGTGCATCTGGTACATGATACATTCAATAATATGTAAACGATATCTATATGAATATTACAGAGGTGCACATGATAGATTAAAGCTGTATATGTATGTGCATGATGGATGTAAGTTTTACAGATGCACACATAATAGCTGTATGTTTAATAAATATGTGCATGATAAAGATAAACATTATATATGTGCTCATATTACGAGTAAGCACGATGAGCATCTCATAATATAGATACAAATTTTGCCGATGACATCAACACATAGATGATAAATATACCTGTGATTTACTTCCAGTCAATAAACACACAATTTATGTACACAGTTTAGATAAAGTAGACATCGTCGTCTCATGACATCATATCGGTGTCAGTCCCCATCCTCCACAAAACTACTTTATCCTGGATTTTCAAAAAACAAAAACAAACATACAAACTTGCAAACAAACAGTCTGGGGAATAGGGGAGAGTGATTTATTCTCCTGTCCCCACTGAGGTTTTGGTCAACCCCTTCTGCTACGGTTCTCTTTAAACCACTGTATATTTATTGTGACCTAAATGTATAAAAACATTATGTACACATATTTGAATTATATTTACATAGATTGTAACTGGGTACACATAGATTGTAACTGGGTACACATAGATTGTAACTGGGTACACATAGATTGATCAGATATTCAATTGTCGACTCTATCATTTAACCCCCCCCCCCCCCCCCCCCCCCCCGCAGATGTTAAGACACAAAATGATGAGTTAGTGAGTGTGTGGAGCTGAGAGTGAGAATACAGCTGCCCCCCCCCCCTCCCCGCAGATGTTAAGACACAAAATGATGAGTTAGTGTGTGGAGCTGAGAGTCAGAATACAGCTTCCCCTCCACCCCCCCCCCTCCCCCGAGGATGTTAGGACACAAAATGATGAGTTAGTGTGTGGAGCTGAGAGTCAGAATACAGCTTTCCCTCCAACCCCCCCCCCCCCCCCCCCCCGCGCAGATGTTTAGACACAAAATGATGAGTTAGTGTGTGTGTGGAGCTGAGAGTCAGAATACAGCTTCCCCTCCACCCCCCTCCCCCGCAGATGTTAAGACACAAAATGATGAGTTAGTGTGTGGAGCTGAGAGTCAGAATACAGCTGCCCCTCCAACCCCCTCTCCCCCCCCCCCCCGCAGATGTTTAGACACAAAATGATGAGTTTAGTGTGTGTGTGGAGCTGAGAGTGAGAATACAGCTGCCCCCCCCCCCCCCGCAGATGTTAAGACACAAAATGATGAGTTAGTATGTGGAGCTGAGAGTCAGAATACAGCTGCCCCCCCCCCCGCCCCCCCGCCCCCCCCGCAGATGTTGAGACACAAAATGATGAGTTATTTAGTGTGTGGAGCTGAGAGTCAGAATACAGCTGCCCCCCCCCCCCCCCCCCCATCCCTCTACCCCATCCCCTCCCATTTTTCAAGACCGCATCATGTCGGATTAACATCTCGAGTTTGAAAATCAAACCTGTACAATTTCCCGAAACGTCGTTAAACCTTAAAAAAGTTTAAAATAAATAAATAAATAAATAAAATAAAGGACCCTTTTCCACGCCTTAGACAACTAAGGAATTTATAATGAACGAATCCCTAGCGACCACACCAGCCCTATATACTCTTGACATTTTGAAGACGTATAATGTGTAAAGTTCAACCATGCTATAACTAAATGGAAATCCTGGAGTTTATTGTTGACTAAATTAGTTCTAAACATTTTGGAGTTTATTGTTGACTAGGTTAGTTCCACACATCTTGGAGTTTATTGTTGACTAGGTTAGTTCTAAACATCTTGGAGTTTATTGTTGACTAGGTTAGTTCCACACATCTTGGAGTTTATTGTTGACTAGGTTAGTTCTAAACATCTTGGAGTTTATTGTTGACTAGGTTAGTTTCACACATCTTGAAGTTTATTGTTGACTAGGTTAGTTTCCCACATCTTGAAGTTTATTGTTAACTAGGTTAGTTTCACACATCTTAAAGTTTATTGTTGACTAGGTTAGTTCTAAACATCTTGGAGTCTTTTGTTGACTAACTGGGTCTGTCAGTGTAACTTTCTCGGCTCCCTGTACAGAGGAAAGCCATGCAGGAAATGTTCCTTGGTTTGCTTATCTAGTCCACACCAACATTCGACTGGACTGATCAGCAAGGTCTTTAACTAGTTTTGTTTATAGCTTTCTGATTTCCCATTATGTGGCCAAGAGCAGTCATTTGTTGCTGCAGGTCCAGAGGTGGTCAACGGCCTGGGTTTGATTCTGTAATCTTTTGGTACTTTTTATAGTTTGTGAAACTTCATTACATTCATGTTCTCGTCTTTATGTGTGTGCGTGTATATATATGTGTGTATGTGTATGTATATGTGTGTATGTGTATGTATGTGTGTGTGTGTATATGTGTGTGTATGTGTTTGTGTGTATGTCTGTATCTGTTTGTGTGTGTGTATATATATATGTGTGTGTGTGTATATGTGAATGTATGTGTGTGTGTCTGTATATATATATATATATATATATATATATATATATATATATATGTGTGTGTGTGTGTGTTTGTGTGAATGTCTGTATATGTGTATGTATATGTGTGTGTATGTGTTTGTGTGTATGTCTGCATATGTGTGTGTATATATGTGTGTGTATGTCTGCATATGTGTGTACGTGTCTGTATAAATGTGTGTGTATGTGCTTGTGTGTATGTCTGTGTGTGTATGTGTGTGTATGTGTGTGTGTATGTGTGTGTATGTCTGCATATGTGTGTATATGTGTGTGTATGTCTGCATATGTGTGTGTATATGTGTGTGTGTATATGTGTGTATTTATGAGTGTGTATATGTGTGTATGCGTTTGTGTACACAAATTCTGCTATTTTAATTCCTGGGATTGTATTTGTTAGAGATTGATGGATCCCTGATGTAGCACATTTTCCTAATTGATTTTGCGTTCTGCTAAAATTTGTTTCTTTTAGGTCTGCCCTTTATCAAGAGACACGACTGTCTATAGTCAGTCGACCGTCGACTCATGTTCATCATGGAACTTTAGGGTAAAAAACTGTCTATAGTCAGACGACCGTCGACTTATGCTCATCATGGAACTTTAGGGTAATAAAATGTCTATAGTCAGACGACCGTCGACTTATGCTCATCAAAGAACTTTAGGGTAATACAATGTCTATAGTAAGACGACCGTCGACTTATGCTCATCATAGAACTTTAGGGTAATACAAAGTCTACTGTAAGACGACCGTCGACTTATGCTCATCATGGAACTTTAGGGAAATACAAAGTCTACTGTAAGACGACCGTCGACTTATGTTCATCATAGAACTTTAGGGTAATACAAAGTCTACTGTAAGACGACCGTCGACTTATGCTCATCATGGAACTTTAGGGCAATACAAAGTCTACTGTAAGACGACCGTCGACTTATGTTCATCATAGAACTTTAGGGTAATACAATGCCTATAGTCAGTCGACCGTCGACTTATGCTCATCATAGAACTTTAGGGTAATACAATGCCTATAGTCAGTCGACCGTCGACTTATGCTCATCATAGAACTTTAGGGTAGTACAATGTCTATAGTCACCCACCCACCAGCTATAGTTTTGAGTACGACCGCAGACATGACAGTCTCATTCCCCGTCACATTTATATGCACATTTCAGTGGTTGACTATGCCATCTACAAAAGACGATCACAGAGCATAACCTTTGAACCCATTGCCCGTATAATATTCAAACACACACACACACACACACACACACACACACACACACCAGCACAAATATGCAGGTTTGCACACCTGCACGATCAAAACTAAATGAATCACATATGCACAAATGTGGAACTGTCGTGCTGGTTTCTGCAACATGTGACAACATAACCTCCCTTAGAATGGGGAAAAACATAACTATGCAGTCAAGGTTCCGACCTGAAATCCAGACCAGGAACTTCAGAATCGCTGCCAGTATTTCCCACTGAATAGTAAACAGCAGGTCAGATTTTGCTGAATGTTGGTGACCTTGTAGTTCCGGTCTTGGGCCACCTAAAGGAGACACAGCCAATAACAAGGGAAAATCTCAGTCTACATTCGTTTGCCTCGTCGTTCCATGCAGATCTTGACGCTAATGAACATACTAACAGTTATCGTCTGTTTGACGACCAAGCCATTCCGGCACAAAATTTGGTGGCATGTACTTACTGGATGGTACTTTTGTTTGCTATCATGGCTGTGAAATGAATGTAGTAGGCGGCAGATCGTCACTGAAACTACAGTAGAAGGTGACTGGTTGTCATGGAAATGACTGTAGAAGGTGAATGGACGTTATGGACATGACTGTAGAATACGCCTAGTTGTCATGGAAATGACTGTAGAAGGCTACTGGTCGTTATGGAAATGACTGTAGAAGGCGACTGGTCGTTTTGGAAATGTCTGTATAAGGCGACTGGTCGTTATGGAAATGACTGTAGAAAACAACTGAACGTCGTGGAAATGACTGTAGAAGGCGACTGGTCATAATGGGATTACAGCCACATTAAGGATGATTCCGTGAACCAATCTAAAACTTGTCTTTATTGATGACATCCCAGTCTGCTTTATCATATTTGCCTCGTAACATTGTTATCTTATAAGTTGATAAATATGATTTTCCATATAATCAGCCTCGTCTTTTATGCATTTTATTTTGAAAGAAGGTGTTAAGAAATTGTTTCAGTTTGATAAAGAAATTGTTGCAGTTTGATAAAGAAATTGTTGCAGTTTGATAATGTGTGTTAAAACTGTTTTTCCTAGAGATCCAAATCAGCTTTGTTAATCAATGATTTCTCAGTATGCTACAGTTAACTGATATCCTTTGAATCGTGCACATGGTCCCGTTTTCATCACTTTTGGTCACACTTTCAAGAGATAACAAAAAACAGAAGTATGCACACGATATCCACGACTGAAACGATTGTTAAACCTGCCCTACCATCTTTCAGCTGGGACAGTCAGTGGTGTTGTGGTTGTTAATCATTTTGATGCAGTTGTCGTCTGCTTCGTTCATGATGTAGACATTGTGTGGGTCCCGTTTGTTATTGATTTGCTCAGGCACAGAATAACTGTCATCCAGCTCGGATCTCTGTCGTTTACGGTAGTAATAATGAAAGATGGTAATGGTGATGAGGAGGGTGAGAAGAAAGGTGCCGACTATAGCTCCAACGATGTCGATGACACCAAACATCAGCTCACCTTCCTTCTTCTCTGTGATACCGATGTGTTTCTCTAAAGGCCTCATTCTGCTTTTCTCGGCATGTCCACTCCAGTCGTTGACCTGGATGTCATCATTGACATAGTTTGTCAAAAGTGCTTTGGATGGAATGTCGGTAGTTTCGTCTCGAATGATGTTGTCATTGTTGTTGTTGTTGCTGAGACCCACCTTGCTGGGCTTTGTGGGTTTAGGGGTTGGTGTGGGTTTAGAACTAGGCGCTGGTTTGGGCGTGGTTGGCTGGGACGGCTTGAGATCAGGCCAGACAACGTTGAAAGAAAACGTGACATTTCCAGCCGGGTTACTGGCCACACATTTGTATGCCTCCTTGTTCTCCAGCTTGCTGTCAACCATGTACAGTACTGCCATGTTCTCTTCTCCTTCATCGTCGGACCTCGGGAAGAATGTTTCGATGGTTCCGTCAGGACGGATCCAGTACAGCGTGGGGGCCGGGTCGCCTCGAGCCTGACAGGTCAGCTTTCCCATCTTAGTGTCAAAGACGGCGTCCACGTTCTGGAAAGTTGGTAGTTCACAACGGAAATCTTCTTCCGTGAGGTCGTCAAAGTTATGTCCCCGCGCCAGACGGGGACTCCCACACTGGGGCTGCTCGGCCCCAGCAAACAAAGACTGTTTAGAGGTCTTATAGAAAGCGTACAGCCACAGCAACTGGCAGTTACAATGAAACGAATTGCCGCCTAGCCGAACATGAGCCAGTTTTCTGAAAAAATACAACCACTTTTCCTGGAAAGATTCAAAGTTATTTCCATGCAGCCAGAGAGTTTTTAATGATCCGTTTAAGGGTGTCATAAGATCCACATACAACCGGCGTAGTCCGCAGTTGTTCATGTATAATCCCTGAGTAGTCATGCCGGCAAAAGCACCAATAGAAATCTGCATGCCCATGTTGTCGTTGATGAAGAGATGTTTCAGATGAAGACCTCTAAAAGTGAAGTCAGACAGGAACCGGATGTTGTTCTTGCTGACGTCCAGCCAGTTTAGATGAATGAGATCTGAAAAAGTGTCCACAGCAATCGTCTCGATGCCACAGTCACTTAAATACAAATTTTGAAGATCATAAAATTCGGTAAAATTTTTGCGGATTAATCCGGTGTTTTTGAATTTATTCTCATTTAAATTTAATTCTAAAGTCTCAGAGGGAATTCCATCCGGTATTTGAAAAAAATTCTTATTAGCACACTGCACATTTTTACTGTGTGGTGGACAGAAGCAATCCCTGGGGCAGGTGAAAGTAGTGTGTACCTGGCTACAGAACACAACAACGAGAAACAACACACCTACACTCCTGCCCCTAGAACAGGACCCTACACCACACCCCATTCCTTGAGATATCCTTTAATCATTGTAAAAACACGACCGTTATGGCGCCTAAAAATCCGCGGAAAGTACAAAGAATCATTATGGAAAAATCCTGGTGAGGGTTTCACAGATCAGAGTTTGTCCAAGTAGAAACCAAAACTGTCTTTTGAGCGTGAGAGCGCCTGTGCCTGCCATAGCGCACGATTTCTGTTTTCCAGCTCGCGCCAACATTGCTTTGTGAACTTGCGTGTCACGCCTGTTCTCGAAGTGCTCACGTCAGGTTCTGTCCCATATTGAGTTTGTGCTGACGATAGAGATGGCGAGATGCAAGCGGCGAGTACGCGGCGCTAGAGACAGCTGGGAAAGGGCGAGGTTTTCCATTTCAGGTCGAAATCCACTACTGGTGTTGAAATGACTCGTTGGTGGCAATCAATGACCTGGTTAAAACTTGTTCAGCGTGTGACGAAGGTCGTTGATGACGCTTTACATAAGCGACTCCTTCGGTATTTTGTCCTACTGCAACTTGTCCCTATCAAACCAACACAACCGACAGCCATTTCACTTCACATTCTAACCAGGGAGAAGCTCTCACATGTAACCTTTGACTCCAAAAAGCAGTCGTTATTTAGCAATTTGCACAAAACATGTGTGTCACCTTGTTCGCACCAAATATCATTTTGAACATATCCTGGATATTATTGTGTAAAAAAATATATTCTTAGCGACAAGAATAAGTTGTAAATAGTTTACATTTTATTCTGTGCGAATACAGAGAGAAATAGAGAGCGAGCGAGAGAGAGAGAGAGAGAGAGAGAGAGAGAGAGAGAGCATGAGAGAGTGAAAGTGAGAAAGAAAGAGAGCATGCGAGAGAGAGAGAGAGAGCGATTAAAAGAAGAAAACATGAAACAGCATAAAGAGAGAGAGAGTAAGAGAGAGAGAGAGAGAGAGAGAGAGAGAGAGAGAGAGAGAGAGAGAGAAAGATATATATATATATATATATATATATATATATATATATATATATATATATATATATATATATATTGTAAAATTCTCCTGATTAATTACGTAATTCTGTAAATTTGCCTGTGTTCTCTAATTGACCGTTTAAAGTCCGAGAGAGTGTACCGATAGAAAGGGGGGTATGGTATGTCAGGAACTAGTAGCAAGGTGACCGTCATGTCCTCCTTAGGGCAGTTCACTACCAATGGGTTAGGTCTGGCACTCAGCTCTCTCCTGTGGCTCCCAGGCCATATAGTCGCTATCCACTGATAGGAGCAGTAGTGGACTTCGGCAGCCCCCTGAGCAGCCCTCTTTAGGAAAGCACTGCTCACCTCCATGGCATGAGGAAGGAACTAGAACAGGTGCTCTAAACATTGCCTGCTCCATCATGTCCCGACCAGCATACGGCGGCTGGAGCCAGCCCCGATTCTGCGGTCGACAAAAACGAAAACTAAAGACTCGTAACATGCCACTAAATTTCGGCGCGTCGAAAGTGCCAACCTGCATAAGATCAAAGGCAGGGTTGTCTAGAACTTTTATAGTGAACTCTGGTGTGCGTCAGGGCTATGTACTAACGCGGCTTCTTTTCATAACATACATGGACGCCATATGTAGCGAAACAGACTTTAATCAGGGAGAAGATATAACAGAATTACTTTTCGCCGACGACCAGGTACTCATAGCAGAAAATATGGAATGCCTACAGAACCACCTAAATCAAATTAGTAACAAAGGGGAGGAATATAATATGAAAATAAACACTACGAAGACAGAGACAATGATGATAGGAAGACATAAAGACAATTTATAAATTAAATTAAAAAACAACACCCTGAGACAAACAGAGGAATTTAATTATTTGGGAGCAATTTTTACTTCAGACGGAAAACTGGACAGAGAAATTAGCTCCAGATGTGCCAAAGCTAATCAAGTAATGGGTCAACTATCTCCCCTGTTGACACACAAACAGATACCTCAGAGTACTAAAGTGAATCTTATCAGAACTATTTTTTTGGCCAATACTATGCTATCAGTGCCAAACGTGGACACTTACATCCTCCAATGAACGTAAAATTGTGACAACAGAGATGAAATGCCTTAGAAGAGCTGCAGGAGTTTCAAGGAAAGACAGAATACAAAATCATGAAATCAGACGAATGCTAGGAATAAAGCCAGTCTTACAGGTCATCAAAGAACAACAAATGAAATGGTTTGGCCACCTAACAAGAATGCCCTGGTACTATCTGCCACAGCGAGCCACACTAAAACGTTACAACGGGTATAAAGCGAGTGGAAGACCTCGGAAAAGATGGAGTGATGGCATTAAGAACAGCCTTACAGAAATGAACATCAGTCTTAATAGTGCTCTTGACAGAGCTCTTCAACGAACATTACATCTCCCCCCGACACTTCGATGAGGTACAAGGTGGAAGAGAAGAAGAGGAAGAAGAAGAAGAAGAAAGTGCCAACTCTACTGGATAGAGAAAAATGCATCTGCACCTGAAAGACGAACCGCCCTGATTGGGAAAGAACTTGGTAGATACAACATCGACTTTGCAGCCTGAGCGAGACTAGACTTATTGGTAAGGGCGAACTCTGCAAGCTTGGTGCAGGTTACACATTCTACTGGAGTGGTAGAAGTGCCGCAGAACACCGAGAAGCCGGAGTAGATTTTGCAGTGAAGACTACATTAGACGGTAAACTGAATAAACATTGAAAAGGTGCAAGTTATCTGCTAATGGCATATCAGGAACCATTTTTAAAGAAACTGTAGAATTACCAGAACTGAACATCAATGGTAGAATAATAAACAATCTGAGATATGCTGACGACACAGTGTTGCTAGCAGAGAGTGAGCAGGAGTTGCAAGACCTAGTGGAGCAAGTAAACAGAAGGAGTGCAGAAGTTGGATTAGATGTTAATTTGAAACAGACAAAAACCATGATATTTAGCAAAGAAAATAATCAGCTAACAATGAATATCACAGTGAACGGGGTGAAATTGGAACAAGTTAATTTTTTATATCTTGGACAAGTAATAACATGTGACGGCAGAAGTGAAACAGAAGTCAAGAAAAGAATAGGAATGGCCAAAAACATTTTCAACAACATGCAAAAGTTACTGACATCAAGAGAAATAAGCAATACATTAAAAATGAGAATTGTCAAGTGTTACGTATTCTCAACCTTACTATATGGCACAGAGACATGGACAATGAACAAACAACTGGAAAATCGTATCAATTCTTTGGAGATGTGGATATACATAAGATTAGGTCGTATTTCATGGAAACAAAAGCTATCAAATACAGAGGTACTGAGGAACATTAAAAGACATTACAGTATTGTAAAGATCATCCTAGAGGGAAAGGTTCAAGGTAGGCGAGCAAGAGGCAGTCAGCGTTACAAGTGGGAGGATAACATCAAGGGCAAGAGACAGGGCTTGTTGGAGATCCATTGCAGCCAACCTTCATTGTGGAGACGGCACCTAATTGATTGATTGATGTCAATACCATTATTTTAAGGAAAAAAAGAATGCCACCATCGTAAGTGTATATGTACCAACAATGACTAATACAGACGAGACCATAAACAGATTCACTGAAGACCTGCTATAGTCCAGTCAGTCCCAAAAGACGACAAGCTTATCGTTCTCGGTGGTTTGAATCCTAGCGTGGGTGTACAGACTTAAACACGTGGGACTGTATAATTGGAGGACATGGAGTTGGCAATTGTAATAACAATGGGCTGCTGCTGCTTCAGACCTGTGCAGATCATGAACCAGTTATTACAGAACCTCCTGGATGCACCCCAGTTTCAAACAGTGTCATCTTATTGATTAAATCATAGTGAGAAAGTTTATGTGCGGCGCTGAATGTTAGACAGACTATCGTCTCCTAGTTTCGAAAATGAAACTTCGCATCCAACCACCGAGGATACATGGGTCACCCTGAGAGTTCTCATCTACAGCACAGCTTTAGAGACACTAGGACCGGTTACGAGGAAACACCAGGACTGGGTTGACGAGAACTCAGAAGATATTCAGTTTTTACTTACTAATGGAGAAACACCGCTTCTATAAAGCTTTGTTAAGTGACCCAAATTCAGTATCAAAGAAGGACTTCTTTAATAATATTAGAACTGTTTTGACCAAACTTCGACAGATGCGAGACATGTGGCTAAGTAGTAAAGCTGATCATATTCCACTTTTTGCAGACAGGCATGATCTAAAAAATGTATATGATGCTTTAAAAACTATATATAGACCTAAGCTTCCCTCATCCTGTCCCCTTTGCAGCAAAGATGGAAGTACACTAGTCACTGATAATGATGCAATCTTGAAACGTTGTGCTGAACCCTTCAGTAACATCCTGAATCTACAGTCATCAATAAACAAAAAAGCTAAAAACGGTTTGCCCCAGGTCCCTATGAATGCAGCCTTAAATGACACACCAACTCTAGAAAAAAAAAAAAGCCAGTAATCCGCTGTCTGTTAGTACAGCTGCCGGTCTTGATGCGATGCCCGCAGAAATTTTCAAAGAAGGTGATAATTTTCTCATTGAGAAATTATACCAAATAATCCAACTCATTTGGCAGCAAGAAATACTTCCACAAAACTTCAAAGATGCAACAATCATATATTTTCATAAACGTAAAGGAAACCGTCAGGTATGTGACAATCACTGTGGAATTTCTCCCCTGTCTATTGCTGGTAAAATCCTCTCTAGAATTCTCATTAACCGTCTTACGGTGCATCATGATCAAGACCTCCTGCCTGACAGCCAGTGTGGTTACCGACAAGAGCGAGGGAACATTGACAAGATTTGTGCTGCTCGCCAGCTCCAGGAAAAGTGTCCAGAACAAAACTGCGACCTCTATTCTACCCTCATAGACCTCACAAGGGCCTTTGATACAGCCAGTAGAGGAGCTCACAAAGACTTTTGATACAGTCAGTAGAGAAACTCACAAAGACCTTTGATACAGTCGGTAGAGGAGCTCACAAAGACCTTTGATACAGTC